ACTGGGCCTGAAGTCAAAGGACCTGAGTTCAAATGCAGACTTGCTAGCTGTGTGAACCTGAGGCAAGTCACTTAACTTCTATTTGCCTCAGTTTCCTCAATGTAAAATGGAAATAATAATAGTACCTATTTGCCAGGGTTGTTATGAGGACCAAATTATATATCTGTAAAGTACTTAACACAGTGCCTGGCACACAGCAAGTGCTATATATAAAAGCTAGCTATTATTATTATATGGAATGGCCTAGCTAATTCAATGTTAACTTCTCACGGCCCCAGGATACTTCAATCCAAGATTACAAGATGTAGAATAATTACCAATATGTACTGGGTAAGGAAAATTTCCTCAATGGGAATTTCCTATGACAACCAAATCATAGGTCAGAACAAGAAACTCAACCTTTTAAAAGGGACTCCAAACAGCCACTCTAGTTAATAAGCCTGAATTATGAATTGGACACTCCTAAACTTCTAGGAAATAAATGTGGTTGAATCAGTCACAAAATTAATTCTCTTCTTAAATGGGGAGGGACTGTGGAAGGAGAAAGGAAGATCAGGAAGTCCATCGAATTTTACTGTTAGCAAGGCCCTTAGAGACAGATTATCTAGCCAAACCTAAAATTTTACAAATAAAGGAAACTCTGACCTAGAGATGCTCAATAACTTGCCACACAATTTAATGGCAATGCAAGGACTAGAAACCAGAACTCCTGTCTCCCAATCCAGGGGCTCTTTACACTGTACCTAACACTACACTACCACTTATTTCCTGTTTGATAACTGTTTTAAAGGAAAGTTGGGAAATCTTTCATTACATTTTCTGGCAATAATAATACTTAGCATCTGTACAGTGATTTTAGTTTTGCAAGAGATCTAACACAAATTACACCATTTGATAGTGACATTATTCAAGCAAAATTCTGTATACAATTTTCATGGAGCTGGATAAGAGGTACAAAAGTTTTCTTTTCTCAAACATTAATTCTGATCTTGATGCTTCAAAGGATGCTAATTACACTTCCCATGGGATCATTGTATTTTCCCATATGACATATGTAGGAATTATTTATGCACTTCACTTTACTATATACTGCTCAAGAAATTACAAATTTAATGAAAATTTTCAAAACTCTAGAACCTCCAAAGCCATTTAAGCCACCCTTACCCCTTCATTTTACAGATGAGGCAAATGAGTCCCTGAGCAGTGACTTATTTAAATTCATCTATGTAGTAACAGGATTCAAGCCTCTTAAGCTTTCCTCCAAATCCAATGTTCTTCTACCTCACACTTTCCTCTCTTCTAGATCTGGAGCAGAAGTAGGAAAACTCCAGCTAGAAGCTTAATTTCATTCAGTACTCAGGACAACATTGCTTTGGTCACAGCTACTGGAGTCCAAAAAATATTTTCTCTTGTCCTACTTAACCTCTTAAAATTTAAGAATAAGGAGTCATTAAAGACCTAGGAAAAATTGTTAATCAGCTGTATTTCAAAGAGCAGTGTTAACACCAAAGCTCAATTTCAATTAGAAACTGGGTACATATGACAGGCGTGGTATTTACCCAATACATCAAATGCTGAAGTTCTTTTTAGTTCTTCACACATTCACCAACCCATCCCTTACTTGCCTTCACTTAACTCACCCAACCATGGACAAGGCACTGTATTCAGTACTATGGACTACGTAAAGACTTAAAAGATACAGTCCTCAAGGAACTTAATAGAGGGGAAATAAAACACAGTACTACAAACAACTAAAATACAAGGTACTGAGTGATCAGTGATATATTTCTGTCTCTGAGTGCTACAGGACAAAAAATATCTATCTTGGAAGTTCTGGAAAGGAAAATGTCAAGGAGTTAGTGAGTGATTTTGAGAAGGAAAGACAGGAGGTTATTTCAAACAAAGAGCAAGGCTGGAAGACAGAAGGCATATTAAAGTTGAGAAAACAGACTACAGCATAAGATTTGTTTAGGTGGGAGATAGGGAGGGAAAGGAAGAATGATGCCTGAATATGAAGACTTTGATTCCCAATTCTGTATTTAATTAAGCATAATATAAAATTTAAAAATATTTATCAAATGAAATATTATGAACTACTTTTAGCATCAGGTGAATTTAACCTTGTCTCTCTCCAAAAAAAAAAAAATCAAATTAATTATTACTTCCACATGGTATCTGAAGTTTTCTCCCTACAGGGGGAATGACCATTGGGTCATCAACAGAAAAAAGGAGGGAAGGGATCATTGTATTTTCCCATGCGACATATGACTTCTAGTCAGCTTAGTACAGTATAAATACAGGCTCAAGAGTTAAAAGACCTGGACTCAAATCCTGCCTCTGACACTAACTCTTGGGGATTCAGTTGTCTCAACTGTAAAGAGGGTTGGACGTTATAGCCTCTGAGAACCCTTCTAACTTTAGTTCCACGATACATAGAGTCAAAGTAGAAAAGACCTCCCCCCCCAAAAAAAAAGCCTTCAAGTAAAATAGTGCCAGAAAAACCATCTCAACTAATCATTTATAGTGACTTTCAGGTGTTGTTATTAGTTGTACTCAGAAAAAATAAACAAAACTGAATCTACAGTAAGGATTATTAACCTTTTTTGTGTCATGGACTGATTTAGGCAGTGTGTCCTTATGTGTATGGACCCATTCTCAGAATATTTTTAAATTTATAAAATTTATAGGATTAAATATGAAACCAATTATATTGAAATATACTTGTCAAAAATTTGTAGTTCTTGGACCCAGATTAAGAACCCTTGATTCTAGGAGATACAGAAAACCAAATGGCTCAATTTTATGCTGAAAAGTAGATAAGGGAATGCCACTTACTTTTGATACCACAAAGGAAAAAAAGACACACACAAGTCTTTTTTCATAAGAAATCAGGCAAAAAAGCTTCATATGAGAGAATAACTACAAAGACCCATTGTTGAGCAGAATTTCCTCCTGTTACCAGGGTTAAGGATGATAAAGCCTCAGGAAAAGTCCAACTGGATATCTTCAAGATCATTTTTTCCAGAAAAAAACTTTGGTTTAAGAGGATTTTTCATTAGCACCACTATCTTGTGCAAGAAAAAAAAATCTAGTTAAAAATTATCTACAGATAAAAAGTTATTGAAAGGTATCTACAATTAATAAACTACTAGACTTCATGAAAATTTGGGTAAGCTAGGGATCTATTCAAGGACAGAAGATCAGGAATCACAATTAAATCTTGAAACCTTACCTGATCAGCTCCCTCTCTTGTCTGCAGTTCCCCGAGTCCCAGTGCTGGGGTTGTACTTTGTTTTGCTTGGGGGAGGGTGTAGAAGAGTGAATTGTTCGAATGTTTCTCACCTTCTCTACCCACCTAAGCTCAAGATTTTGGACAAATGATAAGACGCTCCTCCTGGAAAAAATAAGTTGCATACCCTGTGGCTAAGCTGCTGTCTCCATGCCCAGAATCATTATTTTAGAATTGGAAGGCACCTTACAGCTTATCCAATACAAATTATTTCATTTTACAACTAGGCTCTAGCTCAGAAAGGTGAAATAACTTAACCAAGATCACTGATTCTGCCTTTCGACTTTAAATATCAGAATGAGTGGTAACAGATATTAATCATATTCTGGGACTGTTACTTAAATGTTTCTATGCCTAGCTTCCTTTTCTAACTGGACTGGATTATCAACCCCTAAAGACAGGGAACCAAAGTCTTAGGCACAGTACATATAAAAAGCCATCAGTAAAATCTCTTACAGATATATAATTTTTCCATTTTGTCATGATGCAAGTCTTCTCTTTTCTCATTCAGGGTAGAGGAAATCAAAAGAACCTACATTTCAAGTTCTGACTACCTACCTTGATCAACAATCGAATACACAACTAAATGAAGTTTAACTCTGTCTTATTTTCCCTAAAAGTAGTCCTCTCCACTAGCTTTGTTCTACAGTATTTTAAAACTGATTCATAATGTGCATATTTGACAATTCTTTTCTTTGAAGCATTTCAACTGTCAAATAAAACATACTGACCTCTAAGTCCTTCAAAAATACTAGAACACTAAAAAATCTATCAGCTTTAATTCAACAACAAAAATACACCTCCAATAACCCAAAACAGCTCAAGAGATAAATTACAAAAAGAAAAAAAAAAGATAACTGAAAAAGATAGCCCTACAGAATCCCATGGCAAACACCAAATTACCATCAAAGTGATGCGATCTCTGCAAAGAACACAGGCCTTAAAGTCAAGTACAATTTTGGATAAATCATTTCACTTGCTTAGGCCTCAGTTTCTTCATCAGTAAGATAAGGAGTTTGTTCTATGTAACCTGTCTTCCTCAGTTCACTCTTCTACTCAAAAACTTCCAATCATTTGAGACAGAATACAGGTATGAAAACCATACATTAATTTCTCTGGCTGTGGACACACCACCACCCACAAACATAACACAAGACCCTTTGGAAAGTGCTACGATGTTCAGCAGACCTCAGTTTCATCGAAATCTGTAAAATCATTTCAAAGGCCCTTCAACTCTAAAATCTTATAAGGACTTAAATGAGTTGAGAACCTTTCAATAAGATTAAGTGTGTATTTTAAAACCTGGCCAAGAAAGTAATGAATTATCTAACAAGCAATATACACAGAATAAAAAAACATTTTGTCCCTCTAAAATTACTGGAAAAAGGCAGAAAAACTGAAAGGAAATGAAACTAGTTTGACGAGGAGGCCCCACTACGCAAAAATTTTCTTAGTTGATAATTATGTTGTCTGCAAACCTTAAAGCACTACATATATGTTAGCTAAAATTATTGTTTCTAAAGTTTCAGAGAAATGATTATTTTGTAATGGAATACTTACTTTCCACTACTACAAAAATACAGAAACCAGATTGGGCCTTAATGTAAACTACCGTACTTTCAAAATGTTAAATTCGTTTTTACCATTTCATACATATGTAAAGACTTCAAAATATTAAGCTATACTGTAGAACAATAAAGAAAAGTCTCACCGCAAACGCAGCAAGACAGGGATTGTCTGAAGAAAGGTAGGAGCCTATTAATTTCTGTAAATGACTTGGGATCCCCAGGGTCGTAGTTGAGCACTAGGCGGCTCGCTGAAATGTAAAGAGCAGTAGCATTCACCGGGTTCATTGCAGACACTTCGACACTGATGATTCCTGGTTAAAAAGAAAGTTCGGGTCCAACTCTGTAACCAGACACGGTACAATGGCCAAGATGCAAAAATTCGTTTGAAAACAAAGTTGAACCACTGCCCAAAGAAGTAACTTAAATCCGTACAAGTTCCGGGAGCTGAAGAAATCCTCCCACACATGGGACCCTGGCGCCCCTCCTCCTGAGTCCCTGAGACTTCCAGACAAAAAGAAAACTGTGTTCGAGTTCCTCCGGTGCAGGAGCCGGAGAGGCAGGAGGGAGAGGTGGCCGCCCCAAGCTAGTCCGTGAAGCGGCTCCGGTGCACGGTGCGACCGGGGAAGGCTTCCCTTAGTGGAGCTCGGTGGGGATCCGCTCCAGCAGCATCTCCCGCCGCTATTATCAACCTCCTCCCCGGTAAGGTTCGGCGGCGGAAGGGGGGAGGGGGAAGGGCTCGGGGTTAAGGGGAGTCCAGGCCCCCCGACCCCGGTGCGCGTGTGTGTGGAGCTGGGAGGCTGCTTCTCTGCCGGCTGCACCCCTTACTCCATCACAGCGCCAGGCCGGGCGGTAGATGCATCAGCTTCCACGCTTCTACTGCAAGCGGTGGCGGCGGATGTTGCTGTTGCTGTTGCTGTTGCTGTTGCTGCTGCTGCTGCTGCTGCGCCGCCGCTGCTACTGCTGCCGTTGCTGCTGCCGCTGTAGTTGGCGGGGCCCGCCGCCGCTTCCCCCATGTCGGACGCGGGGCCCCGGGGCTGATTCCGGTTCTCGGCCCCGGCGTCCACAACCCGGCTTGCGCGGAAGGAACGTGGGTGCGCAGGAATCACTTCGGATGGGGAGGGGGAGGGGCAAGGGTCGGAGGCGGCGGGATGGGGGCGGGGAACAGGCCCCGGGCCAGGCCGCGGCGCCCCTCACACACGCACACACACACCGACACACACACACCGGGGTCACCAGGCGCAGGCGCCGCCCCCTCACTGCCCCGCCATCTTCTCCGTGCCACAGGCACCAGTCCCTCTGCCTTCTCCTCAGAACACGACGAGGACAGCCGCCACCGCCTTCCGCTTCTGCAGCTACAGCTTCTGCTCGGCCGCCGCCGCGGTCACCAGCACACACCGCCAGGCCCCGCCGCCGCCCAGCGCACACACACACAGCAAGGCCCGGCCGCAAGCCCCTCCCCCCAACACACCACAGCCACCGCCACTTCTGGACTTCACACGCCGCCCCGACTCTGTCTGTCCCGGGCCGCGGCAGCCCCAACAGATCTCACAGGCTTAAAGGCGTCTCAGGCCCTGCCGGCAACAGCGACCGTTACCCCAACGGGCAAAGCCACGGTCATCCCCGAGACTCCCCCGCCGCCGTCGTCGCTACCGCCCACACGCATGCGCAGTCTGTACCCTTCCCCCACCCCCCCCTTCCCCCGTCCCTTCCCTTCCCTTTTCGCCTGCTTCTCCTCTAGGCGCCCCCGCCTCCTCTTTCTCTCTCCCTCCTCCCCCCTCCACCTCTCAGCCCCGGACCCAGCGCATGCGGGCTGTCCACCTCCCACCGCCGCCTGTCGCCCGCGCGTGCGCCATGGACTTCTACCCAAAGAACAGGATAAACAGACAAGCGCGTTCACGCGCTCCACCTTACCGCTCCACTTCCCCCACCCCTCCTCCCCTTCTCAAAAAAAACTCGCCACTTTCTGCGCATGCTCGACTGTGCCAATGAGTTTCCTCGAGTCTCCGGTCACGACTGCCAGCAGGCGCATGCTCGCTCTCTACCCTCCCCCCTCAACTCCTCCCACCCCCCCATTTGCCGCCCCCTCCTCTCTGAGGCTGAGGAAGGGGAGGGGGCGGAGAAGGGGCGAAGTGATCCTCCCCCAAACCAAAGCACTGGGAGCGGCCTTCCGCATAGCTTCACCTCGCGTTCTCCCCCACCCACACCCCCTCGAGTACCGCATGCTCTCGCCGCCCTTGCCCCGGAGAGGGAAGAGTGCGCCTTTCTCCCCAGGCCCGGCCTTTCCCCGCAGCTGACGAGCTACCCCGGCGCCCCTCCTCTTCCCCACCTCTCCGATGCGGCTCCCGAGGGCGTGGTGCCTGCGCCAGGGCCACAGCCGCGGTCATAGCTTCGCTCTCAGCGGCCACCTGGGCTCCGAGCTGCGCGGGAGGGGGAAGGGGGGGAGGCCGAGGACCCGAGCCGTGGGGGTCAAGGTCAGTCCAGGCTTTCTAGGGATTTCTGATTCGAGCCCGAGCTCGGAGAGAATGCCCGGGCCCCTGCTCTCAGCTCGGTCGGCCAGGGGCCTGGCCCTTTCCAGTCTCTGGCGTACTGCCCCCAGGTTATCCTTGACTCGTGTCCAGCTGGAGGGTCCGGCCAAAACTAAGTCCAGATTTGCCTCCCCAGTGACTGCCTGCATGCTTTTCAGTAAGCATGGTGCCAACACAACGCACCTTGAATGCTACGGAGAGGCTGAAGATGACGGCAGAGCACAGAACCAGGAGCTCATGCTGACCTGCCCTTTCTCTTTCTCCAAATCTACATCCCCAGACTAATTGGCACTGACCTCCGTATACCATCCTCACATTTCACGTATATCTCACTCCACCCTCTTTTGTACTCGATTTAAAACAAAAAAAATTTACTGGACAGGTGTCCACCACTCAGCTGTCAAAGTGATCTCCCCAAAGCGTAGGTCCTATCGTGTTACACGCTGTCCCAACTCGGTACCCGCCATTGGCTCCCTGTCAACCTCCAGAATCAAATACAAAATCCCCTGGCGACCAAACCCTTCATAATTTGCTCCTCCCTCCTTTTCGTCCTCCTTATACTTCACCCTGCCTCCTCCAAGTAATCGGCTATCCAGGAACACTGGGTTCCTTGCTTTTCTTGGAACAAGACACTCCATCTCCTATCTCTGGGAATTTTCACTGGCTGTCCTCCAAGCCTGGAAAGCTCTCCCTCCTTATCTCCATGTCCTAGTTTCTCTGGCTTCCTTCAAATCCCAGCTAAAAATCCCACCTTCTACAAGAAGTCTTCCTGATCCCCCTTAATTCTAGTGCCTTCCTTCTGTCAATTATTTCCAGTTTATTCTGTACATAGCTTATTTATACATAGTTTGAGTGTGATCATCCCCATCAATTAGACTGTGAGCTCCATGTGAGGCAGGATTGTCTTTTACCTTTCTTTGTATCCCCATCGTTTAGCACAGAGCCTGGTATATAGGTACTTAATAAATGTTTGACTAACTGATCTGACATCCAGATGTGTCCTGACTTAAGAGCTTTGGCCTACTCCTGTTGATAGACCTGACTTTTCTCTGAGAATAAATAACCCGACTAACCCCAAGATTCTGCTTTAGGGATGATCAAAAAACTTAACTAGTGTGATAAGAAATGTCCCCCTAGGAATATATGTATCTATGGAACATCCTTTATTATTTTCTCCTGTAAGAAGTATAAAGTTCTAAGCCATCTATAGTCATATGAAAAAATGCTCTAAAACACTATTGATTCAAGAAATGCAAATCAAAACAACTCTGAAGTACCACATCACACCTGTCAGATTGGCCAACATGACAAAACAGGAAAATGATAAATGTTGGAGAGGATGTGGGGAAATTGGAACACTAATGCATTGCTGGTGGAGTTGTGAAATGATCCAACCATTTTGGAGAGCAATTTGGAACTACACCCAAAGGGCTATAAAAATGTGCATACCCTTTGACCCAGCAATAGCACTTCTAGGGCTGTAAGCCAAAGAGATCATAAAAATGGGAAAAGGACCCACATGTACAAAACTATTTATAGCAGCTCTTTTTGTGATGGCAAAGAATTGGAAATTGAGGGGATGCCTATCAATTGGGAATGGCTGAACAAGTTGTGGTATATGAATTTAATGGAATACTATTCTGCTATAAGAAATGATGAGCTTGAGGACTTCAGAAAAACCTGGAAAGACTTGTATGGACTGATGCTGAGTGAAGTGAGCAGAACCAGGAGAACATTATACCCAGTAACAGCCACATTGTGCTACGGCTAACTTTGATAGACTTAGCCCTTGTCAGCAATGCAAGGATCTAAGACATCTCCAAAGGTTTCATGATGGAAAATGCTATCCACATGCAAAGAAAGAACTATGGAGTTTGAATGCAGATGGAAGCATACTGTTTGCTATTTTTTTCTTCTGTTTTGTTTTCTCTTTCTTGTGGTTCCTTCTATTGGTTCTAATTCTTCCTTACAACATCACTAATGTGAAAATATGTATGATAGGAATGTATATGTATAGCCTACATCAGATTGCAAGGTGTCTTGGGGAGGAAGATGGGGAGGGAGGGGGAGAAAAATTTAAAACTCAAAAGTTTATGGAAGTGATTGTTGATAAATTAAAATAAATTAATAAAAAAAATTTTTAAAGCTTATGAAAGTGATTGTTAATAAATTTTTAAAAAGAAGTATAAAATTCTTATGTATCCTCCAAGTAAGATAGAGTACCGGCCCTGGATTCAGGAGGACCTGAGTTCAAATCTGGCCTCAGACACATAACACTTACTAGCTATGTGACCTTGGGCAAGTCACTTAACCCCATTGCCTAGCCACAAAAAAAAAAAATTAGATCTCCTAGGATTTAATAAAGGAAATAAATACTGAGAGTCTTTCTTGACTTGCCTTCCCCCTTTCTCAAATCTTCATACCAAAAAAAAAAAGAGAGAGAACTGGTTTGATGTCATCAAAGTCCTATTGTTTCCAGCCAGATAGCACTAAGTTCAGGAAATGTTAAGCTTAAAGGGAACCTTCCAGGTGTGTACTACTAAATGTTTAACAACTGGCTCTCCTAAAAACATAACACACTGTTAAGTTTTGTTTGCATTATTAACATTTTCTCTAAGATTTTCAACAGACAATCAAACAATAAATCAACCCTTGATTTGTAGCTTTTGCCAATTTCAGAGGTATAAATTTGCTTATACTTAAAATTTAACAATCATCTATTGTGAACCGATGCAAGCAGCCTCCAATATACCTTCCTGCTAAAATCAGGGTGGGGTAGAAACCACTCTCACCCAAATTAGCTCTGATAGCTAGACTAGGTGAGAATACTTCTCAATCAAACAAAGACCATTGTTGAAGGCCACTGGAATGAACATAGAAAAAGTCTGCCCCAATAGGTTGGGAAATTTGGTCACCTCCATTTAGGGATCATCTATAAATAATCAAAGGGAGGGGGCAGCTAGGTGGGGCAGTGGACAGACCACCCTGCCTGGGAGTCAGGAGGACCTGAATTCAGAAACTTGACACTTCTCAGCTGTGTGACCCTAGGCAAGTCACTTAACTGCAAGTACCTCTCCAAAATTAATTAATAATCAGAGGGATTGAGAAAAAAGGACATTCCAAAAATTAGAGCTAAAGTCTCTTCAGCACTTCCCTGAGAAGAAATGACCTGAGGAGCTGGTGGGAAGTGCAAGAGAGGAAGGGAGTTGGGAAGGAGAAGCCTCCACTTTAGCTTCAGTTAAGTCTCCTTCCGCTACCCCCTTCTGCTAAAAGGGGACCTTGCCGTTTCGAAAGGCCCAGAGGGTGCTGGATTTCCCATTTGTGTTCTAAATTGTGTCTCTGATCAGCTCGAGGTGGTATCTGCAACATCAGAAGCCAAGAACAGTCTGGATTCAGAACTCTACAAGAA